TTTTTCCACAAAAGAAAGTTCAACCTGAAGCCTTTACAACAGGAGATTAAGTGCTGCCACAGTAATAAGGATTAGACACCAGTGAAACCTTCATCTTAGGCCTCGAGTATTCATAGGGTCACATAATTCAAACACAGCAGATTGGACAAGACCTTTCAGCTGCCACAGTGACATCAGGCAAACTGCCTGTTTTCCCTTTTCTCTCCATTCATCACTGTAACACATGAACACTCCAGGCTGCAGTAATCAGTGCTCTGCTCTTAGGGAGGAAGACCTCTCTGAGGCCAGTGGTACCAAGTGGTCCCCCAAAGGGTCCTGTCCCAGAACTGGTCTGGCCCAGCCCTCACTCAGCTGATGATGATGGATGGTTGGAGAGCGATGATGAATCGACTCCTGTCAGACCCTTTCCACATCCACATTTGGGACCACATGCACCACAGTGTACTTTCTTACGAGCGGTTTCTCAAAAACACAATTACATCATTATGAAAAAGAAGTGAAAAATAATTGCGTAGTTAAGTCATCTATATGTTCTTAAGCTATATAATAACAACAGTGATGCATTTGATTTGTGTGGTGCCTTTTTGGACAAAGATGCTTATACATCCTTATACATTATTCATTGACTCCACACATGGTGATGATAAGCTACTTCTGCAGCCACAGCTGCCCTGAGGTAGACTTCAGACTTCAGCAGTCTGACTGTCAGTCACTCACTCAAACACCACATAAGTTGGGTGAAGTGCACAAAAAGACATTTGTACAGGTGAGATTGAAGAGCCTGGTCGGTGGTCATATGTTCAAACTACTATCTAATCTTTGCTCAGAAGTTCACACGCTACTTGAACTGTTTATAGCTCAACACTTTCCCCATTCGTTTCATCACTCTTTCTTAATTTCCTGTTTGCCGTGGATGGACCGCACTGGGCCATGTGTTATCTGTGCTCAGTGATTTGAGAGCTTCAAAGCTGGTTTGAGCCCTTAGAACCAAAGGGGTGTCTGCTCTGCCCACCACAGTCAGCAAGGTGATCACCCAGACTTTATGAAAGACAGGAACGCAGATGTTTTGTGTTTCAATCAAGTTAACATTTGGTGCTGATGGCATTTAAGCAGCTGGATCAATAAGCTTTGTGTCTGGAAAGATGTGGTAGCCATGTGTAAGGACTGTAAAGTTTTCAAAGATCTTCCACATGAATGCAAACAGGAGCAGAAGGAAACTATTTCTAATAGAATTTCAATCAAGCTGGCTTTAAGTTCTTTCTCATGTATCTGGCAAATAGCATCTACTGACAACAAACAACATAGCCACATCATTCAGAGACAACAGTGTACCATCCACACAGATACGGACAATTGCACACCATATGTGTCCAAAGCTCCAACCTCAACTCTTCTTGATTGGAGCGATCCCACAGATCATGTTGAGTTGTTAGTCTTGAATGCAAGCTTTGAAAACTAACCCGATGGAAGAAATGAACATGGAATTAGTGGGTTTGATAATCATACAGGCTCACTATTTCTCACTCACCATAAAATTAGTCTATAATTTCTTGTTTCCAAATGTGGAACCCTAATCATGATGTAACTTTTACTTTCAATTTATATGCCAGTACACTTAGGGAGAATTCACGCTATCACCACATCTAAACGGGTTCTAAACTGAGACTAAATTTGCAACTAAACTAGACCAGGATTAAACCAGGACTAGAACAGATTAATTTATATTTTCATACTTGATCGTGATCAAAACAGTAATTTTTCAGACAACACAGGAGGAGGATCTGGATCATATCAAAATAGCGTTGTCACAGTACTTAGATTTCAAATTTGTTTTCGATAGTAAGGAAAATACATATATATAGATTACAATTCTAACATCAGTTAGCATTTGGATATAAATCTTTTTGGACAACACCATCAAAATCACATTCATGAACACAATAGGATGAAATCTGACCTGATTATTTAACCATGTTTTATATAGTGGTACAGGCCTGCTTGATTACTTGCCTAGACATCATTTGCTCTGTTAGTCTACAATACATTACTGCTATCTTTCCTCACGTGAACAACATAAATTGTGTGGGCAATCAAACTGAAATCAGCCTAATCATTTTGGCAAACAGGCAAAACAAACATGGAGGGTGTGAGTGATGTCTGGACAGTGCTCCGCAGGGCCCTGGGTGACCTCGAGAAGGGCCAGTCTCTTGACTAATTGGTGTTTAAGCTCAATCACAGCCAGCGCACTTCCTACTCCTCTGGGCTGCCTAAATGCCTCTATTCTCCACATCAAGCCCCCCGATCTTAACTCCTCATTTTCGCTCTCTTCTTGGACCCCCCTCACCACCCCCGTCCCAGTCAGTCAGTCTGGTCTGACGGGAGGCACTGTGGGAGTTTAATTGCTTTGTATTTCCATGAAACCCACTTCATTACATTAACAGCCAAGGCCCACGCAGAATTCTTCGGACCTGCCACAATTTGTTTTTGTGTTTATTAGGCTCTTCTGAAGACCCCCCCCAGATGGAGGGAGGAGAGGAGAAGGTCAGAGGCGGATCAGCAGGCACAGGCATACATTGTGATGCAAACGGGAGAAAATATGACAGGAGCTTCAGTGAACGGGCTGATGCGCTGGAAGAAACCAGGGTAGTACACATAAAGATGAAGAAGCATGGGCTGAAGGTCAACCTGGGCCCTGACAAATACAGGATCTCACTGACTTTAATTTAAATCTAGTAGGCCTGTCCCTTTCTTAAATCCTAAAAGGAGTAAATGTTGAAATGCAAAAAACATTTTTACATGTAGTATTTTTGTAATTTTGCAAAACAAGCACACTGTGCATTACAAAAAGGAAGGAAACACTTAACAAGGTCCTCAAAATGTCTAGATTCCCAGCAAGTGGGAAATGATTGCCCCATACACACACGCCCTTCGTCTTCATTCATGAATTTCTTAGGGTCCTACCCACTAAACGTACAGTTCATACAAAGAGGGCTGCGTGTGAGCTGCTTTCACAACACTGGAGTTCACACTGGCTACATGTGTCACTGAAACACGAACAGATTTGAACTCAAGAAAATATACAACACAAATCTCTGTCACTTTGTACCATTCTCTTGTGCAATGATTATGTGAAAACACAGTCAGAAACCCACAGGCAAATCTAAAACAGCATCCTCTAAAATAAACATAATTTTATACAGAAGACAGTGTGGAAAAGAGATAGAATAAGTGAATAAGGAGAGAGAGGAAGACACTGGTGTGCAGTAGTGATAGGCGATGGGCCATACTCAGTGGGCAGAGTGAGTGAGCAGCTCTGAAAGTGGATATGAAGGCGGATGACCGCATTAACAAAACTTAATGGAACGGCTGGCTCCAACAGGCTTTGTCATCCATTATCCGACTGTTGCTCTGTGCAACCAAATAGGCACACAGCCTCAGTCACCACAGCTCAGCTGTCATACGCTATGTTCTCCCTTTTTCATTGTCTTATTTCCACTAGCCTTAATCAAAAACATGGGTAAATCAATTGTAAGGTATGTTAATAAGCCTGGGCAGTATTACCTCCTCTGAGCCTGTGACCACAAATCATGGACAGTCAAAGACAGAATTGAAAAAAATACATTTGGGCTGTAAAGAAAGACTCAAATAATATTTGGAATATGAGATGAGTACATTCAAACTTAAAAGACAGCAACAGTTTCTTGACAGCTCTGTTAGCAGCATGAGTCCGAGGCCTTTCTAGCCTCCACAGTATGGCCAGTGTTGTGTGACCTGCAGCAGCATTGGGAGAACATGACAGCATTCTCTGACAAAGGTAAGGACTGGTAAACCAGAGGGAGCAATTTACAGAAGCATGTTCTTCATAAATTGCTTGCCGTTAGGTGGCTAATCTTCTCTTAATCCACCGCATTTACCCCCACACACACTAGGCTCTCTTTGTGTGGCCACAGTGAAAGTGTTTGTGACCAGAGGTCCAGAGCAAATGATTCAGGACATTCCCAGGAGCACTGAAAGAAAAGAGGACAGTGAAGACCTCATTGTAGATGTAAGAGAGTAGTACTGGATTTAATTTGTCTTAACTCTAACATGACTATAATTAATTTTTATTTTTGTTTTTGTTATCAATACAACTTAAATAACAATACTGAGTGGTTAGGCTCCATTTGACTACCTACTAGTATCACAGGAATCACACAGGAATAGATCTCTAAAGCACTCAAAAAGATCTATGATTTCAAATTGTTTGAGAAGACTGTAAAACGAGCAAACTGTCAAATCTATCTAATTTAAGATCACTGTACGTTGTGTCGGTAATGTAGTAGTAACAGACTGTTTTGTCCCTTTGTTTTTCCACTTACCCTCTCACTATCCTGGGCATAGATTACTCATAGAGCAGGAAATAATGACGCCAAGGTCCATTAAGTGGGATGGCAGCACATCATATCAGCATTAATCTCCCATTTAGCAAAGCAGCCCCTGGAGACAGACAGGAGCAGTGTGGAAGGCCACCAGAAAAAAAGAGAATATACTCCTCTCCCCAGATGCAGCCAAGCTTTTAATTAAGATAACATAGCACTGGCCTATGGTTATGAACAAATAATTCATCAAGAAAATTACATAAATTTAGCCTATTAAGAATAACTTAATCTTTAGACAAGACTGAAGGTAGCACACATATACAGTAGGCCAATAGGCAAGATTAAATTGGGACATATTGTACAAATTGCCATGCAGAAATGAACTTAAATTAATTTACCCCATACTTTACTTTACGATTTAATCTGGAGCATGACGCCATCTGGTGGCAATGATCATAGTTACAATCCTCTGAATGAGCTGCCCGGGACGGTGCCAAAAGGACCTCTTTGTTTTAAACTGTCTAACATCATTGAAATGGCGCAAATAAAAAATATAATTAAATTAAATACAAATACTTACTCAATGATTGACCTGTGCTTGTATCCGTGTGCAGTTTGAGTTGAGGTAAACATTTTTCAATAGGAGTTCACGCAGTTGCCTGAGTCGTTGGGGTCCGGTGGCTCAGCTCTCTTGAACCGAGAGCGACAGGATATACTTGTGTTTTAACTTTTAGCTCTGTCCTACCTCTGACAGTCAAAATGTTTGAAGAAGCAAGTGAAGTGTTTGACAACATGTTCAAATCCTCTTTCCCCCTCACCTTTATCGTGTTTATCCCCGCGGTGCTTATTCTGGTGTCCCCGCTCCCGGCCGAAGCGGCACACGAGTTCACGGTTTACCGCATGCAGCAGTACGACCTGCAAGGACAGCCCTACGGTGAGATTTCTATTCTTTGTTATGTCACTCTTTGTCCGCGTGAACAAGTTGCTTTTTACGTGATTAAATTTGGCATAAGCATGGACAGTTAGAGCCTGGGAGTCAAATTCATTCAGCGGCAGCCATTCAATGACAACTCGGAAGCTAACATCGCCAGTGCCAAGCCAGTGGGGTTAGCCAAATAGCCTGTGAATGTAGCTCACAGCACCTGACATGTTTGAAAGGGGGATATTTGAATGAAACGACAAATAGCCTATAATACATAACACTTTGAAACATACAATTCATGTTGATAAATCTACACAGATTCTGTGTGAACATAAACCAGGCAGTGACCACAGGACCCACTAGAGTCCACCCTTCTGAACATATGTGATGGTTTTTGGACTGAACAGGCCGATGATCTACGGGTCACACTCACCCGTGACCACGTAGAAGTCATTTTTCACGAATTTCACGAAACATGTGCAAATTATATACCACCCTCCAGGTACCAGAAATGCCATCCTGAACACGGAAGCTCGCACTGTTGAGGCAGAGGTACTAAGTCGTCGCTGTGTGATCATGAAACTGGCAGACTTTTCATATGAGAAATACCAGAAAGCTTTGCGGCAGTCTGCGGGGGCTGTGGTGATCATTCTACCCAAAAATATGTCTGCTCTCCCCCAGGACATCGTACAGGTACCAGTCGTAACTTTGGATAGTACTGGAAATCTTGCCATGTCTGTTTGTTCTAGAGAGTATTGGCTTTATACTAAAGTGAAGTTACTCTCTTTTGCAGCAATTTATGGAGCTAGAGCCAGAGATGCTGGCCACAGAAACCATAATCCCAGTGTACTTTGCCATGGAGGACGATGAGCTGCTGTCCATCTACACACAGACTCTGACCTCCTCCACATCCCAGGGGTCTTTATCAGCAGCCGAAGGTAAAAAGGCATTTCAGACGAGACTATCAGGTTTAATTACAAATGAATAATGTGTTATATTTTTATAAGTTAGCAACTGATATTCAACTACATATTCATGTTGTGTTTTCATAGTGTTACTTCATACGGCCACAGCAAATGGTTTCCAGATGGTTACAAGTGGAGCTCAGAGTAAAGCTGTTAGTGACTGGGCCATCACCAGCTTAGAGGTGGGGAAATCATTCATTTTTGAGAGATTTTAGTTCTCAGTAACAGATTTTGTATATGGGGTGGGCGACACTGACAGATAGTATCTTTTTGGGGAACGTGCACATGACATTAATTTAACCTTAACATTACAAAAATATTACTTTATGTCCTTATTTGGAAGTTGTTGTTTTTTTTTCAGATTTTCAACTTTTTTTGTTGCATTTTTATCCTCAGTAATGTTCTTGATATTCAAATTTTGCAACACTTAAAACTCAACATCACATATAACAATATTATTCATATTTCGATAATCAGGTCAGGAGCCTTTGCATAACTAAAAAGGACTGTGCATTTCACAGGGTCGTCTGGCAGGAGTTGGTGGAGAAGATCTGCCTACAATTGTTGTAGTTGCTCATTACGATTCATTTGGCGTTGCTCCTGTGTGTATCAAGGACTTTTTTCATTTTATTCTGCTGTTACTTGTTTCAGTAACGTATCTATTTTTAAAATTTCTCCAGTGGCTTTCATATGGCGCCGATTCAAATGGTAGTGGGGTGTCTGTGTTACTGGAGTTGGCTCGTCTCTTTTCTAAACTTTACACATACAAGAGGACACATGCTGGGTGAGATGTAGCATTATTTTTTATCGTTTTAGTTATGTGTTTGATTAAAAACATTTGGACTACACAGTAAAAATAACAGTTTATTGCAATCTTTGAAACAATGTGATTTACTGACATCCCATAACCTTGTGTTTTCTACAGATATAACCTGCTGTTCTTTTTATCCGGTGGCGGAAAATTTAACTACCAGGGCACCAAACGCTGGCTGGAGGACAACCTTGACCACACAGGTGCAGTTCAATGAATTAAATAATGAATTTGCCCTCCCTTTTTAAAATGTGTAAAATGAATGGAATGAATGAATGAAGATTTTCATCTCTATTTAGACAAACTTTTCCGTTCCATTGTATCACACTTGTGATGTCATTGGCTTTTGTGATTGTGATTCAATAGACTCCAGTCTGCTGCAGGACAATGTGGCCTTTGTGTTGTGTCTGGACACTCTGGGCAATGGAGACTCTCTACATCTGCATGTGTCCAAGCCTCCCAAAGAGGGTACTCCTCAATACCAGCTGTTAAAAGAGCTCGAGATGGTAAGCACTGCAAAATATACTATTTGGTTTAATACTTACAGGTGCACTGTGCAACTTTTCTGGTTGTGGGTCTGCTACCTACGTGACTTGATGTTATGAAATGTTAATGCTGTTAATGTGTTAATGCTTTGCCTGGAATGTTCCATGGTATGACATTAAACTTATCCATTTAACATTTATTCATTACAGCTGTTTGTGTTACTCAAAAACACAATAATTTCTTCTGTGAATTAGGGTGACTCTCCATAGGTCTGAGTTGTAATATAGAGTAGTGCTGTAACCTGCTTGTCTTCCTCGTGATGGAGAGGTTCAATCTATAGTGTGGAACATTCTAGACAAAGTAATAATATTTCCATGGAGAGGAGCAGGTGGGGACCCTCCACTATAAATGTTAAACTTTGTGCACCATTCAGTTTCTGTATCAATGACTTTTAGACATACACTGTTCAAGTATGCTCTTCTGGTCTCAGGTGGTCTCCAGTCAGTACCCTGAGGTCAAGTTCTCCATGGTCCATAAGAAGATTAACCTTGCAGACGATATGTTGGCGTGGGAGCACGAGCGCTTTGGTATTCGCCGCCTGCCGGCCTTCACCCTGTCACACCTGCCATCCCACCGCCTGGCACAGCGTTCCAGCATCATGGACGTGCGGTCAGTGTCCCCCTCCTCTCATTACGGAGTGGGAGAGCCCCCTGCTGGGTGGGTTCATTACTGCAAGTCAATGCATCTTATAGCCCCATATATTTAGGTTGTACATGTGTTTTGTTTTTTTTTTTTACATTTTTCACATTTCCTGACCTACTTGCCTTGTGCTAGTCCTGATGTTGTAGTCCCTGTTGTGAGATCATCATCTTCACACACTGAGTGACTCGTTTCCCTTGTAAAACAGATTCAGAGTTACATAGAACATGTTAACATATTTGAGACGTACAGTTTTCTTTCTATATTTGACTCAAACGTTTATTTAGATTTCACTTTCTGCACTGTTGTGTCTTTCAGGCCTCATGTTGATGTGAAGAAGCTTGGCAGGAACACAAAAATTGTTGCAGAGGCTCTTGCCAGGGTTATTTATAACCTCACAGAAAAGGTACTATAAAACAACAAACATTATAACAAACATTGCCACTGCCTACATCAGTTCATAATACTATTTTGATCACTGTATAGAGTGCTCCAGGAGACCTGCAGATTTTCACTGAACAAATGGTAAGCAGCTCATGTGACAACAGAATAAAGATATTTGTGTATTTGTATAGATATCCATTAATGCTTTGCATCACATCAGCAGGTGCAGGAGGAGCAGCTCTCCGCGGTGGTAGAGTGGCTCACAGCTCAGCCACGAGCTGCACAGTTGGTCGATAAAGACAGCAGTGTTGTTTCCACACTGGAGTATCATCTCACGCGCTACCTCAAGGATGTGAAGAAACATTATGTCAAAGCAGATAAGAGGTGAAGAGTTGTGTACCACGCACACATTTCACTGAGTTTTCTGTTTCTCAACCAAAGCAATATCTTTTTCTTTCAGAGATCCTGAATTTGTGTTTTATGACCAGCTCAAGCAGACAATGAACGCTTACAGGTAAAACCCATTTTTATGACTATAAAAGTACAGTCATTATTATATTATATATTATATTCTGCTTAAGATATATTTAGTTCAAAGTAACAGTACAAGGGTGCAAGTTTGGTTCCCACAGTAAGTCTACAAGTGACAAAACCAGAAGTTTCAGTTTTGTTTTTTTCTCTACAGAGTCAAGCCGGCCATTTTTGACCTGCTTCTTGCAGTCTGTATTGCAGCATATTTGGGTGTTATGTATCTTGCAATTCAGGTAAGTGATTTTGTAAACTAACTAAAAATACTGAATATTGTCCAGTTTTCTAATCAAAACATTGTCCTTGTTGTGTCTGCAGAACTTTGGTGTTTTATACAGTGTGGTCCGTAGAATTACCCAGCCTAAAACAAAGACCCACTAAACAGTAGTGACAGAGACTTCAGTTTAAAGGTGTATTCTAACAGTACAGTACACTTTCCTCAGACATGAGCTGCAAATGATGTCACATCTTGTCTTGCTGCCAACTTAACTCATCCTCTCTCAAGGACTAAGGGTATCAGGAATGACCAAAATCATATTTTTGTCCTGGTGCATGCTTTTTCACAAGATCAAACATTTCTTGCCAATACTACATGAATTATAAATATTACTTTTCCATTGAATCCCACATTGCCTCGAACTATACCAGTGACTTCTCTGAATTTTGTCTTGTTGGCAGCTAGACCATTTCAAATTTACTCAAGGCAAGTGGTCAGAATAAAATGTGAACTATAGTGATTTCTTTACCTCTGTCCTATTCTGTCGTAACAGAAATTTAACCTAATCGAAGCACTTCCCATTCTATAAATGTACAAATAATAAAATAACAGCTTTGATTTTCCCCTTTTCCCCTTCTAAGTGTGAAAAATATTCATTATTTCTGAGATATTTCTTAAAATCCATGCTTCATTAAAAAAAAAAAAATTAGTTAAAAGTTTATAGAACATATGAACTTAATACTGTTGAAAAAGGTTAACCCACGATTAAGCTCAAGACTCCACTCTTCATCTGTCGTTTATTTTTTACTCAGTTGTTTCTAGTCACTTCCTTTTGTCTGTCAGCTTTTTTTTGTTTTTTTTGCTGATCATGAGTTTTTGTGACCGAATGAAAACCTTGGCTGCGATACTGTCATACATTTTAAATGCCATAGCAAGATTCAGGTCAAGTCAGCATAGCAGTTATTTTAGGTTTAAGGTTGAAATCCTTGAAAATATGGGTAACACCACAAACTCTGAGAATTACAGAACTAGTGCTGAACCAAACTACTAGTATATAATAGCCATGTGGACTTGGCCTTTTTTTTGCCTGTAGTGGATGAATGCTGTTAGATGTATTTTTCATGCATGTTTCGTCACCACCCCCTGGATGTGTGTCAACAATGTGTGTGGTATTTATTTATTGATGGCTTCCATTTGTGCATTGCACTGAGGTCTTATTTGGTCTTAACTGTAAAATTCTCACACAATTTTGAAGAAATGATATCTGATTTGAAATAAATGGACACACAATTTGTTAACTGGCATGTTTTTTTATTGTGTGGGTAAATAAAACATTAACATCTGACGTTAAAATTGTATTACAAAAATGTTTTAATCATTGTCATACTTACAAATGTATTAATGTTATACAATTTTAACAAAATGGGGCAATTTGTGTTGAGTTGATTTAATGGACATGTATATTTAAAATACCTCAACAAATAAGTTAAATGAATGTTTCATTTTCAAATAAGTCCTTAAAATTCTTAAATTCCCTTCCCATTCTGATGCACGATCAGCATCAAAAATACTAACAATAAATTACAGTGCAATTTAATAAACAAATACAGGGCTTAGTGTCCCTCCATTCAACCCCAGCACTCACAAGCCTCTGCCTCTTGGGTGGATATTTTGGCACAGTCAAAGCATTAATGTCAATACTTTCTGTAAAGGTCAAAGTATGAGACTCAACTCAGCCAGACAACACAAGGGTCAATAAGAGGCACTAAGTTTTACCATTTTGATCAGTCTACAAAGGGGCAAGTTTATATTACACATAGGTCTGTATTAAAATCAATTCATTTATAGCAATACTCGATAAGTCATTAACAGCTGACTGGTCAAACCAAGTGTTAAAACAGCAACTTAAAACAACATAGATTGACCAATGTTGCAATATGGATCAGACAAATTCTTTTATCTTTTGAATATTAGTGGTTTTAGTTTGGAGTTATTGATCTCCTCGGCCTTAGAAGGGTAGTCTGAAGCTGCTGCCTTCACACATGGTACCATACAACATATGTATCCAAGTCTAGCTCACCTAGTCTCCATCTAAACATAAAATATTAGCTCAAATTAAATCTAGAGAGTAGACAGTAGAGCAGGGCTCGCTACAGCAGTGCGAGTCCTTTGTGAACATGAGGCTATAAAAGCATTGTATTTTACACTTAAAATCAGAAAGGATTGTACAGTACTGATGTTGTGTAGTTGAACTACAGTGATACGAGCCAGCATTTACATCTGAAACTAGATCCAGATGTGAGTGATGGTCCCTGGATATCTTGTTTGAACAGATTACTTCATAAAAAACAGGAAACATGACAGCTTGGAATAGTGCTCTTTGAGACAAAAAACAGCAGCAAAACAAATTTAACTACGTGAACTACACAAAGTCAAAATGGTGCAAAAGCAGGAGGAGGCTGAGGAAGACAGACAGACACAACGGTCACTCCTCCTCCAACAGAGGGCATCTGTGGCCTGCTCCAGCAGCACAAGCATGCTGTTCATTCAAGCAAGAGCTCGAATTTGATCATGAAGAGTAAATAGATCCCTTATTTTAACAGTTTAGACATGTGTTCCCACACACACACAGAATAAGCCAATGAAACCCAGTCACTGTGACTATATCTGTATATTCAATAGCCACACATGATGAAAGTATGAACCGCACATAACATTAAGGTTTAGCTTGAACTGGTCTGTTTTACAGTCTGTGTGTTCAGTGGTTACAACAGCTTTTAAAAGTTAAGTTTGGACGTTAAAAGGTAACTTACATAGCGAATGGCTTCACCATTTGTTTATCTTCATAGCATCTTCAGAATCATTCCATCATGCATTCCTGAATACCATAAATTGTGCATACATAGGTTTTTATCATATGATTATATTTTACATTATTTGAGGCTATTGTTCTTGTATTTGTTGAACTAAATAGCCGTCACCGATGAAATTAAAAATGTTTACGTATAAAAAATTGTCAACACTGTATTAATATGAAGATGATTACCATCAATCAAATCAGGCTGTTTGCTGTCATTAAATCAGCAATAAGCTTGCATGCCTTCATATCAGTGCAGCATCAGATGCTTAAGCGATGTACACTGAGGAAAGACTACAAACAAAAGGCTCCTACACTACAGAAAAGTCCCAAGACAGTTGTTCATAATTGCTAAAATCAAACATTTTACTATAGTTATTTACTCAGCAGCCTTTTTACATAAACATGTTCACACACACCACTGTGGTGTTTTAAGTTCATATCCGTCAAGGACACAGTACTGAGGCACCACCATTACCACTAACTGTGCGCAGTGATATGAAAATCAATACAATGTGGTGAGAGCAGCGGACGGAGCCAGGCCACTCAGCATGACCAGTACAGAAGACAGCAGTGATTCCCTTACTCCTCTGATTTCACCCAGTTTGTAGAAGATGGAATGAGGGGCCAAAGAATGACTTTATACAAAAGTCAACTTGGGCCAAATACTGTTTTCCACTTTCTAAATATAAAGCAGCTCTAAATTCCTACACAAACACATGTGGGTCACTCGCTCAGTCAAGTGGAGATCCACATCCTGTGCAACCCAACACTAACCAACTACTGTCTGTCAAATGTTAAGTTAGCGACAATAAGACAAAACATTTTACCTGAAAAAAAAAAAAAAACATTCACAGTGCTCTAAAATACTGAGAACAAAATTACATGGTTAAAATGAAAACAAACAAAGAGTAAAAAACGACTGCGGTCAAACATTATTCCTTTTTCGAAGTGAGTGGTCCTAAAAGAGCATCTTGTGTTGTATTTGCCGCTTGTTGACAGGTGGGGGCGACAAAAAGCTTGTTATAGATGCTTCTCCTTGGTGATTCCGTTCTGCACGTGCTTCCTGTTGAGACAGACAATGGAGGAGGATGAGTTTAGGGTCGTGTGCGCTTGTCGGCAGAGGGGATCAGCAGATGTGAAGCATTAGTGCACAGAGGCTATCTGTGGTGTTCAAGGCCTCCCTGATAAGGATAACACATAATCACATCTTCGTATGGAATGAGGCTCTTTGATCCCATCTACTCTGGCCCCCTTCACCCATCACAGAGGCACGAGCTGCATTTTGAGTTAATATACTAAACACAAGAATTGTATTTAGTTATGTTATCAGTTATTTATCAGTTAATGTAAATGTGAAAACAAAGAGATCATTTATCACAAAAAATACCAAAGTGTGTTTATGGTTGCAAAATCAATAGTTTTTGCTTTCAGCAGCTTTTATTTATCATATTTCTGGGTCAGAGGCAACCACTGTTTTTCACTGAGAATCAGTGAAAAACATCTAGGGGTGATCAAAGGTTAACACTGTAATAATCAGGTTCACAGTTGAAACAGCTTTGAGAGGCTCTCTGATAAAAACATACCGATCTATAGGTGCAGATAAAACACAGTCGTTTAAGTTGAGTTGATGTTTGCTGACGTACGCAATGTCCTCTAGTAACACGAATCTATATCTGAACAGTGAACCATTTCACAATGGTGAGAGAGAGCATCAAATACTGACATTAATAAATATATGACATTTGTTTAGGCTATTAGATTGTATTACCACATAGTATAGTTTATCTCGCTTCAACTTGTTTAACTAACCAGGATTAAAAACATACATAGAGGTATCTTACATAAACACCATTAGACAATAATAGGCCTTGTCTGTGCAGTAGCTCATACCATAATGACCTGTTTATTTTTGACATCTTCCACAAATAGCTCCCTTAAACTGCAGCTTGAATTTGTGCCCGAGAGGCTGATAGTAAAAACAATTTAAACATTCAGTACAAACCTGCCAATGAATGCACACACTACCAACACCTCATCCCCTCCTGCTCTCTCCCTCCCTCTCTCCTTGACTTTCTCCTTCACTCTCTCCTTCTCCATTCCCTCTTTAACTGAAATAAGACCAGAGGCGTGTATTGTGTCTCACCCGTGGGCGGAGTTGTGATGTCCAGCATCACCCGCGTCGCTGTTGTCGTCCTGAGCGTGTCTGAGTGCCTCTGCTGCCGCCGCCTTGTCCTCCTCCTCATACTCTCTGACGTCATTCACCTCCTTCATCTTCAGGACTTTGACAACGAAGATCACAATAAACTGAGAAGAGAAACATAAAAGAAATTTTGATTACACACATTCAGGATAATAATATAGCACTAATACACATGGAGAGTGCTTTATACATTGTTAGAGTTGGCCACAAAATCTAAATTGCTCAATAGTGGTGTTTGTGTTAAAGTGGAAACAATATTTAACTAGAACTGATGTTCCCAAAGTTGAGGGTTACAAGATGACTTGAAAGATATAATTATGCAATTATCAATCAAATTTTAAGTGACTGTAAGATTTAAAGGGCCCATATTACGCAATTTCCTGATCTATGTTATAATGTTGTTTCCTCATCACAAACATATCTGTTGTGTTTCGTTTCATTCACTCACGTTTTACACTCAAACTCTGCATATTTAGGCTAAGTTCTTCTCTCAAACAGAAAATGTCTTTTGATGTTATATGGTAATACAAGAAGTACTCCACTGTGTTTTTAAAGTCCATACCCTTTCACTAGAATAATTTTGATAATTTCAGACCTGGAATTACCAATCTCTGAACTACATGGTAGTGACATAACAAGGTGGAACATAGTATTTGGAGATGTATGTGTGAATGAAACAAAACACAACTCCAGATATATTTTTGCTGAGGTACATTATAACATGGCTTAAAGCTCACAGGAATTTTGTGTATTATAGGACCTTTAAATAACACAATAAATTGCTCAGATATATACAATTAACCCTGATTTACATGCTAAACAAAAATCTTCAGTTGTAGGACATTGGGAACCCCTGATCTAGAAGAGATTAAATTTGTTCTTCAAATAAATGGCTGTTTTGAAGGTTATCCATAGCCATTTACAATCTTTGACTTCACAACACCTCTGTGCCAATTTATGAATCAATATAAATTTAAAGAGCAGATTTTGTGCAGTCCAAAATCAATATCTAACAAAGAGTTTCTATATGATGGGTCTCCTTACCAAGAACCAGTATATGTTCATGAGCAGTAGTGCCAGCAGCAAAGCATTGAAGAAGAAGTAGAAAGGAATGTTTGGTACGGACTGCAGACTGGATACACATGTAGCGTACAGAACCTTCAAGGGGAACCAGTAGAGGCGAAACCAAAACCTACAAGACAACAAGCCATGAGATACACATCAAGAACATTACAATAACAATGATTTACACAGTCTGGAGTCTTTACCATGTGATGCTGAAGCTGACAGAGCCCATGTTGGACAATATGTCATTAAACAGGTAATAGCCTCCGCCTCTAGTCTTCAGGTAGACGTTGAGTTTGGTGAATTCAAGTTGTATGTCATTGATATCATGCAGGAACAGCACAAGTATACCTATATTGTGGTATCTAAAATAAGGAGATATAAGCATTTGTTATTATTTCATACTGAATCATCTTTATTTACATGTACATTTTATGTCTGTCTATTCCTGGCATACATTTTGCTTTGGGACAAGAAAATAGGTAAAATAGGCACATTTACAAGTTAAAAGGAACTGATCTGCTCAATCCTGGGTTTGTCGACTATCAGCACCTATCCCAAAGACCTGCATTCAGGTACATGCAGGAGGACAATTCATAATCAGCAGTAGTGTTTGGGTTGGTGAGAAGAAGGCAACCAGAATATTATATTTTAATGTAGTGCAATATGGTACTAAAATAATGTTTAATCATAGTGTGCTGTGCATAAGGGTTACCTTGTAATCTTCTAGAAACAAAATTCAATGTGACTGTAACATTATAGGGTTGTTTTGACCTCCGGTCGTACAGCATTCAATTTGCATTTGCTTTGTGTTTATTTAATTACAGGAAGGAACTTGCAGGATATTTTCAGATCTGTCTAGTTTTTATCAGTTCCTGTTCTATTTCTTCTTGAGAATCTGATGGTTTGAGGGTAGGTCACAGAAGACAACCATGAAGCACTTTTAACTTTAATAGTATTGTAGGCTCGTTTTGGTTGGCTATGTGCTGGTGTCAATTAAATACATGCAAATGCCAGTAAACCTTGAATGCACACTATGTCTGCAAGGTTTACAGGTTTACAGCCATTTGCATATAATATCAAACTGTACTGTAAGAATGAAGTACCTGAAGGCATAGGAGAAGCATATAAGAGCCAGTGTAATGATGTGATGCACCACCATGACAGCAGAGTCCTTCCTCCAAGCATCCATGTAGACTGTGGCGTAGATTGAATGGCCATAGAAGCTGCCCTGTATCAGATAGGCAACGGCAATGTCTAGAGGCACTGACATCCCACTCTTCCAGTCTGGATAAAACAGAAAACAGTGGGTTAAAGAATTACCTTTTCACAATAACACAACCAGCCTGATAGTAGGGTTTAAAGGGCCCAATTTACGCTATAATTTACGATATCACAAACATACCTGGAGTTGTGTTTTTTTTCATTCACACATTTAACACACAAACACTGCATATTTAGGCTGAGTTCTTCTCTCAGACAGAAAAAAGTCTCTTCCACCTTGTGATATCAAATGGTAAAACAGGAAGAGCTCCACTGTGTTTTTAAACTCAGTACACCTTCAGTGGAATCATTTGGATAATTTCAGTGATGGTATATTGCCCATCGCAAAGCTGTTAACTTCATCACAAGGTGGAACAGAGCATTTTGAGTTTTGGAGATGTAGTCAGACTAATGATAAAGGTTAACTTAAACGTGTAAGAAGACAACTCCAGATATGTTTTTTTCAATGAAGTAACAGCATTATAATGTGACAAGCTAATTTTGCATATTAAATGACCTTTAACCTGCTGTTTGATATTGAGAACAGGGGCACTGCAGCAAAACACATGGTAAACAGCCCATGAATCTAGTTGATGTTGTAGCTCTTAGCTGTACAGCACGATATAGCATGGTCAGCCTTTTTGGCAAGCTAACATGGTTTCATTTTCATTAAAAATTAACCACAGGATTATTTCGAAACACTTAAAGGCACAAATATAAGCACAAATAATATAGTGGCAAGCCTGGCATAAGAATAGAAAGGTAATTGTGCTTAACTCTAAATATACTAACCTTGAACTACTGCTAAAATCGTAAGAGACAAAGAAAGTAACTGAGTAAGTGAGACTTGGCACTAGGTAACACATTTTGAAGTGCTGAAGAAAATATAATTAGATAAACACAGTATAAAAGAATAACCCTAAAGCAGGATCGCCCGAAAAACATTCTAAATGTTCATGAACTGCATTAAATAAGAGGATGAAACAGCAGTAGCTAGTAGTATCTGTCATTTGTCATAGAAGTTATTTATTTAACCTTTTTCAGCTCAAATGTTGTTGTAGTACATAGCATAAGTTCCACTCTAGTATACTCAATATAGTCATTATTGTGAAAAGTCCACTTGGCACCTGGGCAAACATCTGCATGAGTATATTTGCTCTAGTTAAGATATCTACACAAAGTAAATACATTGTTTGTTTGAAGTATGTTTGAGATATACGGGGGCTGAAGCATATACAAATAGTCTCTGCATGCAACTGATTGGACATGGATGCTCTTTGGCTCAGATCACCACATAGTGAACTATATACAGTGACTTCCAGGGGACACCAGATGTGAGGGGTCAGCTGGGGTAGTTACCGTAGTGCGGCTGAAGGAGGGGGGCAACAGGGATCAGATTTACCCTGAAGCATGAGACTGAAAACAAGCCCAGCACGGCCTGTTACATTTACCTCAAAAACATCTCAGATCTACGGCGGTTGAATGGAAACTTTCACTGCGCAGTTTGAGTGAGGTTTGTCTGAGTTGAGATGGGGTTTCTGTTGGGCCTCGTGTAATGTTTATTGATTGGTCCTTCCGTCATTAAACATTGAGAGGCAGGCTGCTCAATGAACACGGCCAAGACCTTGCAGGGGAACTGGAGATCCCATTTCACTCTCTCTTTTCTCTTAAGAACCGTCCCCGATGCGGCCATCATCAAAGATCAATTTCATTTTCACTATTTCCTCCTGTGTCTCTTAGGGATGTCACGATTATTGTGAAAAGAAACATAATGATTTCATGATTATTCACGGTTGAAATCCTTAATTTTCCTCAAGTCTAATTGGTAGGGTTGTCAAAAGTATCAAAGTCCAGCTAGTAATTAATACTAAAACTACTATGAAAACTAGTCTCATTTCAAACGTAGTTACAGAAAAAAAATTATGTAAATTGGACCAAAAGGGACATTTCTGAACAGTCTGATCTTGATCTATACTACAAATAGTGTAACATTACATGGCAATATAAATACATATTATTTTGTGTTGTGCAGTTTATTGTCTTATATCACTGTGGTGTGTGAGTTTTAAATGTTTGTATTTGTTACAATACTAACAATAGCAGCAATTATGAAATGAAAACTTCTAAATGTGTGTGTGTGTGTGTGTGTATATATATATATATACATACATTTAAATGACTTAATTTTACTACTAATCATTTTTGTATAGTTAGTTATATTGTGACACAAATAATCCTGATCAATTAGTCACATAATCCTAACAACCCTAGTATCCCTGCAGGAGTCCATCCTATTTAGGGCCTTTCACAGTGCAACGTCCTCTGACAGCCATTACAGGTGACGGAGCAATTAAAAACAAGCCTGCTCCTTTCGGCCAGTATACTAGCTGCACTCAGAGTGATGGGAGAGGACAGGGGCCCTGACACCTCTCTGTCTGATGGAGCAGGCCCCACACCACTTTCCTCTGGATCCTTCTTCCATTAGTTCTGACTCCTGAGACACAGCAAAGGCACACTTCATCATTCTGACAACTCTCCATCAAATACTAACTGAGCTTGTGTCTTTATTAGAGCTGTAAGAAGAACCATTAATCTACATTGACGGTTCTGTTCATAATAGGAGTTTAATTCAATGCTTTTTCGATATTAGATATACATTGGAATTCCTAATAAAAAATAGAGCAGTGGTTCCTTCAGAAGTTGTGAAACACAAAGTTGGGGGGGTCGCAAGATGATTATAACACTGTATTCACTTTTTTTTTTTATTTAAATGTAATGTACTGTAATGTTGTGAAACTAACTAGATAAACTACAAAAACCTGATTTTAAATGTTTTCCTACTTTAAACTGTTGCAAGCACCAATTTCATTTTGCGGTGGGGGGCCCAGGTTGGTAGCATGATTACTTTGCGGGTCCAGGCCTATTAAGTTTTGGAAATCAATACTGCAGAGTTTGAATACAATATTGATTAGTCTATTGTTTTCCCAGTAGAGAAATTTAAATTGATTTACTTTATTTTCATGAGACTTGCTATTATTTTAATTACTGCAGCCCAATGTCTATGCTTAATATAAAACTACAAGCTTCCATGGGACTTACACTTTAAATGACACAATTTAATGAAAGACAATGAGGCATAAATGTTGCACATCTTACTGTAGAAAACAGAGGGTGGGTCGTGGAAAAAGGAGTAGGAGCTGAAGAAGAGCAGATAGGAGCTGTATGACCACGACATGGTGTAGAAGACCAGCTTCCACGCACTCTCTGGCATCTTGGCAGCATCTTTGGGCAGCAGCCTCCACCTCTGTGCTAAAGGCTGTGGACACACAAACAGTTTCAGAGACGATAGTGTTAAGTTAATGTCACACCACATATAATGCAGAACTATTACAACACACAAAAATGCAAATTGCTTGTCAGTGCTAGCACCTTTTGTTTTTCTATGTAGAATGGTGCCCTGTTGTGCATAAATACAATGCAAAATTTTTTGTTTTGTCTAACATAACTACTGGGCACACAGTTATAAGAATATAATAAAACAAGACCATATTCAAGTGTAGCAGTCACATTCAACATGATCTCCCATGTACAAACTCTCCTTTCACAACTGATGTCTGAATAATGTATAACTACTCTACTCAATATACTCAAACAAGCCCTCATAATGTGCAGTGTTATAATAACTCTGTCCCAGATGTACATGTGTTTATGCTGTATTGAAATGTCAATAGAAGGTGGCCGAGTGCTTTTGTTATGGACTCTTTAGATTTATTTTCTTCAAATGTAGGAATTGCAATGCAAATACTTAAAAACTACACTTTTTCATTACATTTATGACACATATTGTGTGTGAAATGTGAATGACTCAGCTTATGACTGCATGCAAGATGTGTGTTTTACTCTTGGTGTTTTTATCAACTGTAGTTTGCACTGCAAGTAGAAACAGAGGAAGTTGAGGACATGACTTCTGACAAACTGATGAAGCATTATATCAAGGTTCCTCCCTGCACTTTCAGCCACACTTCAGTCTGTAATTCTCAGCCACATAGTTACAGTCAGGATAAATGGTACTTCTCAGTGCCCACACAAACACCAAACAAAAACACAATAGAATCAGTCGCAACATTTTGGCGTGAATTGTGCTCCTGACACCTGCCATCTAACTTAGGCCTGTCATAATTTTTCATTCTCTGAATTTAAGACAGTCTTGCCTTTCAGTTACACAAGACTCAAAAGGTTTCCTTTTATTGCTGTAAGGTAGGCTTGTGAAATAAAATAATACCCAGATACTAGAAACTATAGTATTGAAACTATACAAAAAAAAACATAAATAAAAACCATAATAATAATAATAATAATTATTATTATTATTATTATTATTATTAGTAGTAGCAGTACCAGCAGCAGCAGCAGCAGCAGCAGCAGCAGCAGCAGCAGCAGCAGCAGCAGCAGCAGCAGCAGCAGCAGCAGTAGTAGTATTGTGTCAACACTGGCATCAAGCCTTTGCCCTACTATCAAAATCAAGTTAAAATTTTTAGTACTTATTGTAAAAGAATGGACAAGGAGCAGCCCAAAAACACAAACAGAGAGGAAATCTTTTCATCGATGATGTCTTAATAAGATTCACAATTTGCAAGGAAGACGGTGTACTGTACAGTATTGTTATTGTATCTATTTGAATACAGTTCTATTATTACATTTAACAGGGACAAGTGCAGGTTGGCTAATAAACCCTCATCCTATAGGACCCTAAATAAAATGCACACCTCCAGAGGCGCGTGAAGACCTGGAGTGAAATGACACTGTGTAACCAGAGGAAGGAAAGTGAAAGAGGCCCGGGTCAGTGATACTGTACTTTTCAATCTGATGTTACCCGGCCCACTCGTCACCAGGACAGGATCCAACAAGCCTCTATGCCTGATTACATGACAAATTTATAGGGAAAGTGAAGCTATGGCGAGCCCACACTGAAAAAAATTACTTCTGGGGGTAGTAAAATATATTAAATCAACTGTGGTCATTTTTACACTAATAACATAATTCTGTGAGAACTATAACTTTAACTTTAACAGCAATAAACAAAATTTACTTATTTTACTCATGTAGTCAAAGTATTGTGTTTAATGAGTAAGTTCTACTATATAATCACCAATACGTTTTAAAGGTTTTACAGTCGCTACTCATAAACACAGAAATATTAAGTAATACCAAAGTTCTTCTAAATAAGTCTCAGCACTCAGTAGCTACATATTTGGGGCTGGTAGCTCAGTTGTAAGAGCGTTTGTCCACTGGTCCAAAGGTTGGGGGTTTGAATCCCAAATTTGAAAACCTCTCCCAGAAATGAATGCTGTAGTTGTGTCCTTGAGCAAGACACTTAACCCACCTTGCCCCCAGTGTCTGCTTGCATTGGTGTGTGTGAATGGGTAAGTGGTTTCTTGTAGTAAAGTGCTTTGCATGCCTTGAAGGTGGAAAAGCACTATATAAAAATTGAAGTTCAGTATATATACTAGACATATAATATTTACTTAATTATTTCACAGTAGCAATGCAATTAATTATGACAATATTTTATATATTTTACTTAATTTATTTACATAAATATAACTTCTAACTTTTAAAAAATGTGAATAACAGTTATTCAGTAATTTCATGACGTGGTAAGTGCATTTTACTTAATACTGACAGGTAAATTGTACCCGATATTATAGCTGTAAAATTTACTTAAAAAGTGCTAGTGCAAATTGTTATGAGGATTTTTTTCTAGTAAATCTTACAAGTTACTTTTTTCTGTGCAGTCTCTTCTGTCTTTATCCTCATCACATGTGTGCACATTTGTAAGAGTCACACAGCAATAAGGGAAGGAAGTGGGTGAGGGAACGCTGTAAGTCCGAATGAAAAAATACAAGAAAAGGCAGAGTAATGTTTTTAAAAAGGGGAAGGTGACATTTGGCACTTCGGGTGTTTGTAGTTAATTTTACAGTCCATTCACTTTAGAGCGGAACTAATATATATAAGACTATATAATAAGATGAGGTATTGTGGTTGCAGAGGATATTAAATTATAATCACAGCCTTGTGATGTGCTCATGGTGACAATTCAATTTGAATTCATCTTTAACTTTCAGCCACAGACAAAAATGTAAAATAGTGGTCTTGTCCTGTCATGCAATGGAAGAGAGACAGAAGCACATGATCTATCTGTGGCCTCTGATTGGTCGGACAGTATACATGTGACACGTGCCCTGTAAATCCTGAGTGAGGGCAGTAGATCACAGGAGGACACGTCTCTCACTTTGTCCAGCTGCACCAGTGTCTCTCCATCGCCCAGTCCTCTGTGTCTCCCTCCTGCCCGCACCATTTATTTATAGAAGCCAGCTGTCAACACACAGCACAGGCTACCCCCCGTCTCTCACCGCATCAGCCCCAACACACAAACTCAGCAATGGGGCTCATTACAGTTACTGAAAGCCAGAGTGCAAATAATAGAATAACCTAATCTTGCAGACAGTCCTCATTATTGCCCATACCAACAACTCAACTGCTAGACCTTGTAAAGCGTAACCACCTTCTTGTGCCCTCGCAGACGTTTGCCTGTAATAATCACACTTATTTTGGTTATGATGACAAGGTGTGACAGCTCATAACAGCAGCTGATGTCAGACTGGAACACTGTAACGATCATCTACTGTGAAAATCACATCCTCATTCTTTTCAAGTGTACTTCAAATATAGGCAGTGGTAGAAAGAGTACTGATAATGTGTACTTATGAGTAAATGTTATATGCCTGATTAAGTACTCAATTACAAGTACCAAGTACTGCTGCTAAATTTGTACTTAAGTAAAAGTAAAAAGTACACAAGAAAAATCCTCCTCCTCCAATCAATTAAACAAACAAGTGTAAAATCCAATCCCAAATGTTTTCAAACGGAGTTCTGATATCACACAGTACCAGGATGTATGAGAGGTTTTTGTTTGCCAAATTCCCCTTGGTTTGTCACATTTGTGATATTTTTAGGTCAACTCCATTTCTCCATTGAAATTACATTATGTTTCACTTCACTTTTGCCTCCTGTTGCTTCCATTCTGGGATGTTTAATGTATTTGTTTACAAACTTTTAAAGGGTCTGTACTTCATAAAGAAAGCAGGGGTCTATCCATATTCTGGTCACAGCGACCAGCAGGGACACCATCTTTGTTTGAAATGCAGATTGTGACATTATGTAACACTCTGCTATTCTGTGCATTTGTGCCACCAGTCCACCACTCCAACAAAACCAATTCAATCACTTTACACTTTACCCCCTATAGGATCTGAGACCATATAGCAAAGTATAAGGGAATTCAGCCTTTGTGGACAAAAAGACATAGTTCAAGTCCATCCTCTGACAAGCCTTCATTGCATCTCAGCGCTATTGGTTATAACGTCCCATGATATCAGAAGACTGGGGAGAAATTAGACAGAGAGTGTGTGACAGGACCTACGGATGAGCACAAATGAGCTGTTCCCTTGGCAACCACGCAGTGATGCCGATGAAGACTACCGTTGGGCTCAAAACTCCCCTTTGCTCCTGCCCTCCCTGCGCTCCCCAGCTGCACACTCAAAGCTACATCGTCCATGCCCTTCCTGGAAGCAAGGGCTGAGAGCTGAGTGAGTGAGCCACCAGTACTGGCCTGTTGCATAGAAAGAATGAACTGGGCTGATGGTGAGTCAGGATGTAAGCTTGTGAATGAATGTGTTCAATACAAATCAAGGCTTTAGTTTGGTCTTGAAATGGCTGACGTCACTGTGAGTAACAATGATCCACAAATATATCATGTCTAAGGGTGAGTACCATAAAAGGTGACAGTACCATACAAAAAAGCTGAAAAAAGTATCGACCTGGTACCAAAAAAATAAATAAATTAAAAAGACATATATCATTAAAGTTGTGGCACCCAAAAAAAATGTAAAAGTACCCAAACCTAATCATGCCTATTCCAGACACTATTCTCAAAATATAATTTTTTAGAGCAACATGATATAAACATATTGAAATATAATCTAGTTCATAACAAAATAAAGAAATAGTTCTTCAGTTTCATCCAATTCTACTGACTATCTACACAGAGATAGAGACATTAAGTATAGCCTTAATGGGGAATTAGGGAATGAAGGGAGCTTAGTCTTTGTCCCAGAGGGTAGAAGAGGACAGTTGTCATGAATGAGGTCATTCTTGGGCACTTCCTAAATCCCCAATTTAAAACAATACAAGGGAAATGAAGCTATTCATCCAGGGGTAATCGCAACTTTCATTACAAAAGCAAAACAACAAACA